AACAAAAAGTCAACACGTTTGAAGCGGCTCAATTGACCAACTGCGATTGATGTTCTCAACAAAAAGTCAAAGCATGTGAAGCGGCTTGAACAACTGTGACTGATGTTCTTGACCCGTTCTTCTCAACAAAAAGTCAGTGCATTCGACGCGGCGTGAACAACTGTGACTTATGTTCTTGACCCCTTCTGCTCAACAAAAGTAAAACTATCCGACGCGTCGTGAGCAACTCTGATTTATACTCTTGACCACCGCTGTTCGACAAGTCAAAGCATTCGACGCAGCTCGAACAACTGCTGCTGTTCATGCTGTCACTAGGGGTTTGTCGACGTGGCACTACATTCAAAAACCGCGGCAAATTCAGATGTCAGAATCCGCGTCTACTTTTTCTTCAGGTGCAACTTCTTAAGCTTCATGTTGCTGTTCTTCACTGTCTGGCCACGATGTAAAAAACGTGACATTGAGATGTCCCAAGCGCTCCGAGTCTTGGGTTCTTTCAAGGCAGACTGAAAGCGGGTGTAGATGCTGGCCACAGTCTCATCATCACTGATCTCACCGGATGTGAGCCTGAGCTTTCCACCGCACACTTTCAAAGCCTAGCTACTTTAGTGCTATATAGTCAAATGATTGTTTATCCTCTTGAGCGAAAGAGTCCATGAATTCCGGTTGGGACACACAGGGAAACACCAGGGCTGACGACTTTACCAGGTGTCTATGATACTCTTACTACATCATGCCAAATGATGTGAGCAACCAGTCTCCAGTAAACGCTTTGGTGAAGGTGTAGAGCAACATGCCATCCTTGTCACCATCCATCATGACGAGCTCTCCCAGCACTGGCTTGATAGGGCGGCAGTACAAATACACTGTGAAGCCCTTCCTTTGATCACGGCTCAACACCATGCCCCTACCCCCCCTCCGCAAACTCATCCACCCAGAACTTGTAGGAAACGTTCGGCATCATCTGTAACATGATCCACGATCCCACCACTCCGGAATCCATTGCTCTTTGCACCTTCTCACTCCTTTCCTTCCCAAACTTCACCCAACCACTGGGAACGTCCCACCACTCCTGTGAGGTCGACCGACGCTTCAGCACTTTGTACTGCCACAGACCGTCGCTCAAACCAAGCGCCATGAAGTGACAGTGCACTTTGATGATATGCTTTGGGTGAACGTTGAACTCTCAAGCCAACTTGCGAGCCGTATGTTCATGCACAGCCCTGCGGCCACCCGGCGAGTGCAATGACCCTGCATGGTGAACTTCCACTGTGTGTGACGTCAACTGAACTCACAAGAATGCACTGCTTCTGTCAGTTGATGCGTGCAGAATGTCAAAAACGCAAGAATGCACTGCTTCTGTCATTTGATGCGTGCACACTCGGCGCCGCACGCCCAACGTTAGTCGAGTTGACGCCTGACGCAAGAGAAACGTAAAACAAATTCGAAGTTCATGAACTCGGCGTCCAAGAACCATGCATAAATGGTCCAACTGCACAGTTGCGTACAAATGTCAAAAGCCGTGACTCATGGTGACCAATGCAAAAATAGAGGACGGAGTGCACTCTGACTCACTCCCTGGAAGAGCCTTTACCTGAACCAACAGGCAGTGAACTCCCGACGCAGTAAGCGCCTGCAAGCCATTGCCAGCGGTGAGACCTTGGCACACCACAGGCGCAACACATTGAACCATGCACTCAACCCACAACAAACAGTAGATGAAAGCTCGATCGACCGATCCAGACCTTCCCACCCTTCACAAATCTTCACAATCAAAACACAAATAACAATCAAATCTTCTCGAATTCGACCCTGACAGCAGCGTTCATTTTTTTACGCGCCGTGCGCGGAGGCAGTGTGCGATCCGGTTGGGCGTTGGATGGCACTCTCATGAATGAGAATTTTATGGATGACCTAAAATCTCAAAATTTATCGTGGCGATAAATTTTGGACACCTCTAGACTCAAAAAATTATCGTAGCGATAAATTTTGAACATCTCTGAACCCAAAATTTATCGTGGCGATAAATTTTGAACACCTCTAGACTCAAAAATTTATCGTAGCGATAAATTTTGAGCACCTCTGAACCCAAAATTTATCGTAGCGATAAATTTTGGACATCTCTGGATTCAAAAATTTATCGTGGCGATAAATTTTGAACACCTCTGAACCCAAAATTTATCGTAACGATAAATTTTGGACACCCCTGGATTCAAAAATTTATCGTAATGATAAATTTTGAATACCTCTGAATTCAAACATTTATCGCACCAATGCATTGTGAGCCCCACTGGATTCAACAAAAATATTGCGACGATAAACTCTGAAGTAGTTATCATCACCTACCAACGTGCCTTTATCCAACGCCCCCGGCATGGCACCTTCTGCCGTGCTGTACCGTGTCCGCCGTCCCTCACCTCCATATCACCACTGTAAATTCAAATATGAACAATCTAGTGAGGTATTCAGAGGTTGGGTGACATGGTGGTTGGTGTACATGGTTGAGTATACATGTATATATAGATCGACCCTGCAAGTCTGCGGAGGCCGGGACCGTGGACAGATTCAGGATGAAGGACTTGAACACATGGCCCACCATCCATCACGCTTTGAAGCCATGTTCATGTGTTTGTGACATGGAGTTCATGGATTGCCATGGAGTGACATGTCATGCATGACCTGTCGCCATGATGGTGGACCACCGCACGATCAGGCCTTATCGGCCTTGTTCGCCTGCATGATGTCTGGCCATCCGATGGCCAGACATGCCTGTACCCTGTGGGATCCTATGGAGGGCCGGCTCCAGCATATAGATTGGCCCATGCATGGAAGCTCATGAGAGATGAGTTCATGGGAGGTTAGTTCATTAGAGTTTAGTTCACTAGAGCTTAGTTCACTAGGGCCTAGTTCATTTGAGCTTAGTTCATTGGAGCCTATAGTTCATTAGTAGTTCACTCCGAGCTCGAGCCGGCCCCACCTTCCACCACCCTGCGCGCTACCACCGCCAAGTCGCGCACGGCGTGCATGCACAGCGACCAGTCGGCCGCTGCCGTCACCTTCCCCTTCGACTTGCCGGCCGCGGCCGCGGCCGCCTGGCGCTCTTGTGAGCCCTTCCCCGGAGTCCTCTTCCGGGTCCTCCCCTGGCCACACCTGAGATGAGGGAGCATTGCGCGCTTTATACGACAGTTACGACAGACTCCAAAGAATTACAGGGCAAATAATTCAAAGATTGCTCGTACAGCAGGGCCTTATCAATGAAGATTCATGGAGGCTCGCTGCAAGAAAGTAAAACAATGGTCACACACAAGAAAGTAAAACCATTGATCAATGGATATCAGAGGCGCGCATAGAAGTTCCCGGCCAGGTCCTTGTAGCCGCCGATGCAGTATTCACCGCCCCATGCATCGAACTTGCCCTTGCCCGTGCCCTTCGCGCCGCCGCTGAAGTTGCGCTGCCGCGTCTTCCATGACGCCCAATGCGGCTTGTGCTGCCGCGGCTGCCATGAGGCATTGTTCTTGCCCTTTCCTTTGTGCCAGTTGCGCTTCCACCATCCTTGATGATGGTCCCACCACCCCTTCTGCTGCTGGCCCTCGTCATCCTCCATCTCATGCTCGGCCTGGCCAGCGCCCTCATCAGGGTTCACCTCCTCATCCTGCTCCGGCCCCTCCTCTTCAGTGCCTTCGCCACCCTGCTGCTCTTCGCATCCTCCTCCATCATCTCCTCCTCCATCATCCTTCTCCATATCATCCTCCTCCGCCTCCTTCACACCTTCCTCCTCCTTCTCATCTTCATACTCCTCCTCCTCCTTCTCCATCGCCTCAACCCTGGCGGCCTTCGCGGCCCTCATGAGCTCAGCCTCGTCCTCCGCCCTGTCTTTGCGGTTCCACCGCCCCTGCGCCTTTGGCTTTGCAGCATGGCGCTTTTGGATCTCCTCGCCCAGCTCCGCCTCCTCCCGCCACACCTGCATCGCCTCCACCAGCTCCTTGTGCTCGTCTGCTGGATCCCGCTTCAGCAGCGGCCGTTCCAGCATCTTCAATGCTTCGCCCACCTCCTCGAAGGGCTTGCCCCTCTTCTCCACCTCTGGCTTCACGCCAGCTGCTGCGGTAGGTGCTGGCTTCACGCCAGCTGACGGCTTTGCCATGGCCCGGGATGCCTCTGGCACTGGCCCTGGATGCCCAGGTCGAATTGGAAGCCCCTCAAATGTGTTTGAAGTCTGTGATATGAAGTTATGGTGTGTGAAGTCTGTGATATGGTTCTGGAGTTGGTGCATGAAGTTCTGCAGTTACTGACATGGTATATGGGGCGTTGTGAGTTGGCAGATGAATTCGGAAGCCATGGAGTGGCATGCGTGGAACGTTGTGAAAGGTGGCACAGGAAGTTACGACGTTCTCAGTGGTATATGCGTGGTGCGTTGTGAGGTAGTGCACGCACAAGTCTGTATGTATGTCTATGTCTCAGTATACAGTAAATGAATGTAAATGACACAACTGGCCATAGCATATCACAGTGCACCTGCAAAAGTGAAAAACAACCACCTGTAATCGTGAACAAAAAAAGCTATGCCATGTCTGAAGGCCCATGCCTTTCAGACATGGCATGCATCCGTCTTGAACCGCGGCGAAGCGGCATCAAGTTGATTGAAGGTGCAGTGCAAACTCACGCCAACACCGATCGACGAACGTTCACAAAGTTCAAAGGCAACCACTTACAACCCAACGAAGAACCCTTCAAAGACTCCTACAAACTGCGCCCAAAGAGTTTCATCAAAAGCTGTTGAGGGTCCCGACAACAAGGCTCTGCAGGCCATGGTGAAGGTTCCAACCTGATGGCGCACAGCGCAGGATGCAAAGGAACCCATGACTGGGAGGGCCTCAAACGTACACCTTCCTGACTCGAGCTCAAATGAATTGTCTATTTCTTTCAAAGGGCCCCGGACTCCATCTATTCAAAAACATTTCAAAAACACAAAGCAGCTCGGCGCTTTGAAGCAGCACTAAGAATGCCTACTCGTGCACATCAAAATGATGCACCGATGGGTCGACCTGAGTGTTGGGAAACTCGGTCTCATTGCTCAAAGTCTCTCCAGCTGGTCGCCGCCTCTTTTTTGGTGATGGAGTTTCGGCCAAGGGGGTCATGCGTTTCAGTTTCTTCTTGGGCGACGCACGCTTCTTCCTCGTAGGCACCTGCCCCTCGCCCTTTTGGACCAAAGCCCTCATGTAGGCAAGGTTATTGTGGGACAACTCAATCCACAGGTCCTTGGACTTCACACCTAACAAGACCTGGACCTCCCGGGAGGGATACGTCTCCCCTTTGTATTCAATCTCTGGCAGCAAGATCTTAACAACAGGATCAACCAAGCACACATCTTCGCCCCGCACCCTCTTCTTGCGGCGCTGACTCGCGGGCTCATCAGCGTCAGGCATCTCCATTTGCGCGCTCACGGAGGCAACGCTGGCGGTCTTCCTCAAAGCCAGCAAATCCTCAAAGAGTGTGCTGTTGGCCGATCTCCCCACACCTCGAGACAAATCCATAGGCCTCTGAAGACAGAATTTGACAAAATGGCGATCGAATTTGCTCAGCCTCACAAAGTCTACTCCTCCCTGCGCGTCGATCTCAGGATACCACTTCACTGATCCTGATTTGAGCAGCCAGGTCGGCTGCATGACAAAGCAGGCTGGATCCAAAGGGTCCTGCTGCGCGAGCTCTTCTTCATTCTCGCTCTCTACGACTTCAGCTTCGGCCATGGGCAATATACAATCTAACGAATCTAAGACGAGCCAAGTTCAGGCCCTGCCTTTGATTGCGAGCTTGAGCTGTGACAAGCCCTGCCACTTAAAAATATCAAAGGGTTGCATATTGGAGGTTCGCTTTGACATGACACACAATGCCAATCAAGAACTCTTGCAAACACACATTCAAACGTTTACCAAATCACTGTTCATTGTAAGATGACAAGCTCTGCCAACCAAGAGTTCTTGCAATCACACACAAAGACATTTGCGAGAGCAACTTCACAGTCCAGAAATCATTTCTTCACTTGCCCCCGCATGTCACAAGGCTCCCGGCTCAAAGTCGTGTGACCAACCAGCCTCCATGACAAGCTTACACAGGTTTGGTTTCTGCGCCTCTGTGATTCAGAAAGGCCAAACAAAAGAACATACCAAACTTCCAGACCTCACAACAAAGTTTCACCGCAAGCACACTCCCTGTTTCCCATCATTGAGCTCAAGTCGGTGGCTGGCACCATGTTGCACCGCAAAAGTTGTGGCATTAAAGTGCTCCTATGAACCCTTGGATTTGGTCCTGGCACGCTTGGCAGGCGGTGGCACGGCGATGGGAGCTAGTGGCTCTGGCTCCTCTTCCACTTTCACTTGGGGCGTATAGACAATCAACTCGTCTTTGGGCTTCAAAGCACATGTGTTGTACATACATGGGATCTTGATAGAATTGTTCTCTGCGTCTGTCAAGTTGGGGCGAATCTCACAATTTGCATCCTCAAGAACATGGGTTCTCTTGACCATCCAAAAAGGCTGCAGGAACGAACCAGTCAAGTCGCCGTCCGTGGAATGTAGGAAGGCAGGCAAGAGACTCAAGGGCACATCCCTGATTGTTCCAATCGAAAGGCCAGAGCTCGCCTCTTTGGATTCAATCTTCCATGTTGATGGGATTAGGATCAACTTGTTTTTGGCAAAGGGCTTTGTGCAAAAGACTGCTCTGGAAGGTTTCACCTGGAGTTTCAACCCCTCAAGCACTTTGGCGTGCTGCTGATCCAATTCAATGAATCGCCTGGCCACCTCACCCTTGGCGCACATGAGATTGATTGCATCTGACTTGAGCGCCGTATGGTCAGAGAAGGTGTCAAATTCATATTGCGTGGTCTCAACATGTTTCTTGACCAGCTTCCATTCTCCTCTCAAGAAAGATCCAGCCGAAAGCTCAAAATATCCAGAAACATCCTCTGTGTCCAAAGACAATTTGACCTTCGACCCCTTCAAACTCTCGATTGTGGCCCTAACCTTGTCCTTCTTGCGAAGAACCGATGCGCCTTCGACAAAGCCCTGTTCTCTCACCAGAACTGCCTCTTCCATGATCTTCCCAAACTCATCGTACTCGCGCCTTGAATTGACATGGACAAGGGCTTTTGAATATACGGTGCAAGAAAGGCTGTGGACAGTGAATGAACTGTGAAACTATTTTGTAGGTTCACTATGCACCAAAAAACAAAAGGAACTCCTTGCAAAACTGTCCGACCCAATATGCGGCGCAAGAAACGCTTTGGAGAGTGAATGACATCAAACTATTTTGTAGGTTCACTATAGGCGCAAAAAACTCTTAATGAAATTGTCCGGTTGGCGGAATCACTGAGGGACCCGGGCTTGCCGCAGGAGCTGATGGGGTGGAGCTCTCAGGCTTCCTATGGGCATCGAACTCGGTGGAAAGCCTCTTTCCAAGAGCCTCCTGAAGTTCATCCATGAACTCGCACGCCATGGATTGAGGAGTCAAATCCTTGCGCTTCTCAAGGACTTCCAAGACCAAGCCATCTTGGAATTTCTCAAAACAAGTTTGAACCTGCTGTGCGGATTCGTCCGGAATACTGACGCTGTCCAAGAGCTTCTGCATTTTGATCATCAACCCCTCCGCCTTTGCCACGGCTGGGGACATCTCTTTGGACAAGATTCGTCGGGCATCACTGGCCCCAACCAACTTCTCTGAGTTGTAGGCTAGGCCAAGCAAAGCACGCCGAAACCAAACATGCTGCGCCTGCCAATCCTTCGACGTGCCCGACAAGTTCACAAAGAACTCTGTCCCGAGCACCTTCTTCGTGCTCACATTCTTCTTGACCCTGCTCTCAACCTTTGCCAGCAAACTCTTATGCATGTACTTGAGCAAGAACTGATACATGTAGGGGGTGGCTTCAGCGCAGGCTGGCTTTGTCCTCATGACATCTTTGCGAACTTGGGCCCACTCTGGAGGTTGGGTGGACCTTTCAATCATACCCTTCATGCGCAGCAAGATTTGCCACTCATGCTCTCCCCGCTGCAAGTGGCCGGAGGTATTGGATGCTGCCTGGATCAGCTGTGGCGCACCTTCGATCGCTGCAGCTTCCTTGGACACAATCCGCCAGATCATGCCTTCCTCAGCTGCCTTGTACAGCTGTGGGTCATGAGATCGAGCTCGGGCCATCGACAGTTTGCCTTCCAGTGCCAGGGGACCGGATCCATGATCTTGTGGGAGTTTCACTTCGTGGCGGAGGGCTCTCAAAGCTGCATTGGTATGAGAGCCAGCCAAAGATGCGTACCGCATCGAAGTCGGAACCACATCCGGTAACAAGCCCCCAGAGTTTCTCACCAACTCTTGGTTGAACGACAGAACGGCCGCGTGGTTTGATCCGACCTCTGAACAGATCGGATTAGTCTCACGACTATCCCACCCCACCTCACTGAGGCCATGAAGAAG